CACATAAAATAAGAATAATAAAATATTTTTAAAAATTTTAAAAGATTTTTCTAAAAGAAAATCTAAAACTATGTAGGTTTTAAGAATAGTTCTTGGAAATGCAAATTGAACCTCCATTGATACCTGTGTTTCCTTTGCATTATTGCTCACTAGTTATTTTTAGTTTGTGTTACAGTACATGCTATCAGATACAAACATGAGGCAGTCGTGTTTTCAGATAATCTATTTTTTTGCCTTTTTTTTTTTACTTTCAGTTTTCTCTTTCCTAATCTGAAGGCTAAGTGGAAGCATTCATTAGTATAGAGCAAGGTTTGTTCTGAGAGTGAGCATGGCTTTCTGTTTCAGAGTACAGAGCTGAAAGTCATCCCTTGAGCTATATCCTTAAAGTGCTCTTCTTCAGTATCATATATAATTTACTACTTACTGGTTAGCTTTTCTGACAGGTATCCTTGAAGTTGTCTGAGTCCATTAGAACCATCTCTTCCTGGCTTCATTTATCCATCTATTCATGGACTCAATGAGGAGTGGTCAGCGTGCTCTGGGAACTCAGAGGGAGGAATGATTGGCTCCATGTGTATCCAAGGATGAAGAAAGGAGTAGCAACATCAGGCTCAGCTTACATTAAGACTGAAGCTGTACTATATTACATCTAGACTGAAGAACTTATTAGCTTATCTTAAATAGTAAATAACCAGAGTGAAAAATCACAATTTACTCCTGTAGATTAGATAAAAAGTGAGGTAATGCAGTTATAATCACAAAGCCCACCCTTCCAGCTCAAATGGCTTCTATGAGAGAATGAGTTTCAACAGGGAATATAGGTTGATTCTTGAAATTTTGAACATTCTGTTAAAATAGTAGTCCAAACAATAAAACAAATCTGACAGTTTCAGACCAGAGCATTTTACTGTAAGGTCATGTTTTCATGTTATTCCCTCAGTGATTATATGCTGTGCTCAGGATGTGTGAACTGAGGGACTCTTCACAACCAAAACCACCAGTCCTTATAGCCATTGAACTTTCAGTGTAGGGAAGCGCATCATTCAAAAACTTGAATAATTAGTAGATGTGAAAAACATTATCATTGAAATCTACCTGATGACTTTATATCCATGCTCAGATGCCAAGGAGCACAGCAGGAGCAGGTCATCTCTTCCCCCCAAACTGGCCCTGATCAGGAATATCTGACTGCTTAGTCACCTCACCTACTAGCCTGCCAGCTTGCCAACCTGCCAGTCCATCCTTCCTACTCACTCTTTGTATAACTGTAATAATTCAACTGTAAACCTAAAAATGTACAGCCAGTTTCATTAGAGATGCATCCTAGCTCAGAAAATTGTTATTGAATATGTCAATGCTGATGTAATGAAATGCTTCCTCTAAATGTGTGGTTATTAAATAAATAATTTTAAAAAACTTGATCACATAAATGATGAGATTAAGTGACATATCCCAGTGCTATGATGCATGCAAATTGAGACGCGAGGATGCAGATTAAGGAAGGCTTCCATGAGGAAGGGACCACTGAGCCGGTATCTGAGGAATGAATGCAGTTAACTTGGTAAGGAGGGAAAGAGAGGCCAGTCAGCACAAACTCCTGTGTGGGTGGACTGCAGCAAGGATGGAATTGACAGGTCATTGTGGGGTACAAAGTTAGGGTTGAAATGTACAGAGTGACACCAGAGAGAAGGGCAGGACTTTACAAGTTGCAGTACTGATTTCTGTTTTATTGATAGATATATTTAGGAGGAGGATGACATAATCCTATTTGCATTTTTAAAAGACCTCTAAGCCAAATATTATAATCCCAGTATTCCGCAGCCTGAGACGGAAAGATTGCCGTGAGTTTGAGGTCAGCCAGGGCTACATAGTGCATCCCAGGTCGTCTTGTGTTTTTAGGCTACAGAATGAGACCCTGCCTTAAGAAAAGAGAAGAGAGACAAAATAAAAAAATAAATGTAAAATACTACAGAAAACAATAACCTAAACAAAATAAGACCTCCCACTTGTTGTGTGTCAGTTTAATGCTGCTGTGACAAAATACCTGAAATAAACAACTTAAGGGGGACAGATTTTATTTTGCACCAGGGTCACCTGTATTCATTGCTATTTGCTGTGTCAAGCATACCTCATGGCAGGGAGCAAGCATTTAGCAGATGGTGGCTGAGAAGGGCGGGGAGGAGGGAGGAAGAGGGGGAGAGAGAGAGACAGAGACAGAGACAGCATACCTCATGGCAGGGAGCAAGCATTTAGCAGATGGTGGCTGAGAAGGGGGGGGGGAGGAGGGAGGAAGAGGGGGAGAGAGAGAGACAGAGACAGAGAGAGAGAGAAAGAGAGAGAGACAGAGAGAGACAGAGAAGATGGGCCAAGGACAAGATAAATCCTTCAAAGACATGCCTCAGTGACCCGCTTCCTCTAACCAGGCCCCACCACTCCACCTGTTCAGCTGTGCATTCATCAATGCCTTTGATGTCAGATCATCTCTCTATAGCACCACCATTGGGAACAAAGCTTTCTACACATGAGCTTCTGGGGACATACTTTAGATACAAAACTGTAGCATCCCTATTTGCCCAATGCTATTGCTATTCTGAAAGGTGATTATCTTCACCAAGATCACCTAATAAGTGGTAAGGTAAGTGCTCAACCTTGTAGGGTGAGGCTACACTCAGATCCCTTGGCTTCCTCTTCACTTCAGTACCTTGATGCACAACCTGCAGGATACCAGCATTTAAGAGAGCTAAACCAGGTGTGGTGGTGCATGCCTTTAATCCCAGCAGCTTTAATCCCAGCAGTAGGGAGGCAGAGGCAGGTGTATCTCTGTAAGATCAAGGCCACCTCTGGCTACTGGGAGACCCTGTCTCAAAGAAGAGAGAGAGCTAAGAAGCTCTAAAGAAGGATGAACGATGTGAGAGAAGAAGATTGAGTGATGATAAGTGCCTGGGGGTGATGTGAATGCGCCCACGGTGAGGGGTCTGGAGACTTTGATAGAACACTTTCAGAACACTGTGAGGGCTGTATTGAATAGCTGATGCATGAAGGAAAAGTGAAGAAATAAATTTCAAAGTTGTAACTGTCGTGTTCAAAAGATGATGAGGGGAGAGGGCAGCCAGCCGTGGGGGAGGTGTTCGTGGCAGCCTAGGACATCCATGTGTGTTAAGAACTGTGTGCAGAATTAAGGGGGTAGTTGTAGACCTCAGGAGCAGTATCCGTGGGGTCCAGTGTGGAACTGTTTGGGTGTAAGGTAACTTCAAGAGCATAGAAAGTCTGATCTGGGCGAAAGCTTGTTTTGAAGTTCTTTAAAACATAATTAAATCTACTGTGTGTTCAGTGGTCAATCTCTTATGAAAAGTCTCTGGGGGTTACATGAAGTCATCTTTCAAGGCACATAGATTCTTGATTATTGTTCAAGCAAATATCTTCTTAAATGTTGATAAGAAGCCATATGGTATTTATGGTTATAGTTAGAAAATGACATCATAAATTAGTGTTTGTCTAAAATTGTAAAATGTCCTAAATTTGTTCTATGTAGTAATTTTCATCTATCTTGTGGTACTTTGGGTTGTGTTTCCTGTTCCATGTTTTGATTGCTACTATTAATTTTGATTTGAGGTCATAAAAGGGCTTGAAATGTCTCTGAAAGCCTATTTCTTATTAGCATGTTTGATTTTTGACAGATTTGTGTGTTCTTTCAGGCTTTTAAAATATATGTTCAACAGTAACAGCAACTTGTTTTGTGGATTAGAGCTATATCTAAACCTCATTACTTGAAAAAAAATTATAAATAAAATTAAAATTATGATTTACATCCTTTAAAAATCCTTTACGTTTGGCATAAATTGCAAATTGATTTTAGTTTACTTAGTATTTTTGTAGTTGACACCTTTTCTCGGTGTGTTTTTTATATATTTTCTTTTTTAATGTTTTTTAAATTTTTATTTTTATTTTCTGTGTATACATGTTTTGCCTGCATGTAAGTTCACCCATGTATGCAATGTCCATGGAGACCAGAACAGGGCATCAAATCCCCTGGAACTGGAGTTGCACATGGTTGTTAGTTGCCATGTGGGTGCCGGGACCCAAACCCAGTCCTCTGCAAGAGCATCTGGTGCTCTTAGCCACTGAGCCATCTCTCCAGCCCTGTGATATGTTTTCTTTATCTGCCATCCTTGCCTCTATGGCTGAAGTTACATTGTGTATGGGAGAATCACTGAATTTCTTCCCGCTATAATTCCTGGAGCTGCAGTAATGACCAATCAATGCACATATCATAACTTCCTGTAGGTAGTACATCCTAGTCCTCCTCTCTCTGCAAAATGTTTCTGAAACCAATTAATTAAAATCATTACTCTATAATGAATGATGTGCCCCCCTTCCCCACTGCAAATAATGAGAGAGCTAAGGGATGTGGAGATTGTGGCTTCATTTTTAGTTCTAGGGATGGCTCAGTTGTTACAAAATCAAAGGTCAGCATCGATTCTTATTGCAGGAAAACTGCTGTTACGCCAGAGTCCTCTTACGCCACAGGCAAGTCTTCAGGGACATAGCAATGAGCAAATAGACACAATCCCTTCTCTTTTCAAGCTTGTAGTCTAGGGACAAGAAATCTGATCCCAACAGAATGAAATCCAGGCATTTATTAGTAACATCCATTTGTTAATTACCACAGTCAGGCACCTGGACAGTAGTGCGTGCAGTACACAGACCCTCAAGGTTTCTCCAGGCAAATCTGTGCTTTTATATGTTGTTGGGCAACAGACTTGATATTTTATACACTACTTATTGTATAGTGACATCTTTGAAATGCATATTAGTAATGTTTATTTTACCAAGAAGTTGGCAAAGTATATGAACTTGACTTTCTTTAAAAATATATAAAAGTAAAATGACAGCAGATTCATATTCATTTTCCCGGGCAATAATGTTTCCTTATAAGCAGTATAACTGGCTCTAAGTGACATGCATGATTGCCTTCATATACTCTCTGTCTTTTCTTACAGTTATTGCCAGTTTTCGAGGAACTGTCCCCTATGGCCTATCATTGGAAATCGGAGATACTGTTCAGATCCTAGAGAAGTGTGATGGTGAGTGACCTCGTAGTGACAGCCTGAGGCCATGTAAAGAAACTCCTTAGTGTAGGACTGTCTCTGTGAAATTTATAAATCCTGTCTGTTAATGTCAGAAACTTTCCCAGAAATCATGGGAAACTATTTTGAACAAAATTTGTTCTTATATATACAATGTTTGACTTATGGAAAAACAAGTGTTCTTTAAAAGCCAATTGGTTTTTTTTTTCCAAATTTGTTAGTTCTTTACAGTCCTCTATATGGCATCCTGGAGAGTGCTTGAGCATACCACATTTGTAGAAGTTTGGGACTAACTCCCAGCCTAGAACATTTTCTAAAAACCTCAAGGTCTAGCAGTTCCACGGACAGAAGTGAAGGTCATGCTGGGAAATGTCGCACCCCGAGTTACATGGCCTGGCCGGGGCTGCTCTAGCCTTCTAGTTATTCTTCCAAATTTGGAAGAAAATTATTCAATGAACTTGAAATGTTGGTAGACTGTATTATGAGCCTCTGTGATTATTATTAATTTACATAGCAGGTAACTCATTAAAAGTGCCTGATCTATTATTCTCAGATGTCTCCATTCTTGTTGTATGAGACATCCTGAAATTGTAGTCCTTGAAAAGATGCCAGATAAAATGACTATGTTTCTTTTTCTTGTTAACAAAGTGACTAGATTTTTGAATGCCACTAGTATTTCCAAAAATGCCCGTTTTCTTCCTAGAAGACTTTCCTTACTAGGAATTCACAGTATGATAATATTCTATCTAAGAAATTGTATCATGGATTAAATTGTGTGTGCTCAAACAAAACTACTGCATTTAGCTAGAACCTGGATTTAAAAGATGATGATATGTGGATATTTATTCTATTCATGTAATTGAAAACTCTGAAAATATAATAAGGTTTCCTATGTCATTACCAGATGCATTGTGTCTATTTCTACTTTGCATATAAATACAAAATTCTCTTTAAACTAGTGCATAGAAATGGGGTACATATTTAATGGGGGTAGTAACCTAAAATTTTTCCTGTATAGTATAATTATACAGAGACCTCTATGAAATATTTCTGCAATTGTCAAAATGTTTTAGATTCTATTTTAATAATTAGTTACAAATAGATAACTTTTGGGAGGGGGTTGGATTTCTTTTGTTCTTATGACTAGCTAATAAGCCCTGAGATACAGAATCTAATTTTCAAATAATTCTGCTTTCTTTGGACTGCTTTGAAAATTGTTAGGGGTGGTTCATTTTTTTTCATTATTGTGTATCTTTCTAAGAAACTATTATAAGGAACAAAAATATGTTTATTATATGTTATTTATTATTTTTATTTTATGTGTATATGTGTATTGCCTGCATATAGGTAAGTGCACCCGTGGCATGCAATGCCCACAGAGGACAGAAGAGGCTGCTCAATCCCCTGGAACTGGAGTTATGGACAATTGTTAGTTGCCATGTGGGTGCTGGGATCAGAACCTGGGTCTTTTGCAAGAATAGCCAGTGTTCTTAACCACTGAGCCATCTCTCCAGCCCCAGGAACAAAAAAAAGTTTAAATATGAAGCTCAAATATTTGCTTTAAAAAATTTAATTATTCAAAAATTCAGTTATATAGAACATTTTTAATAAAAAAATTATGTATATGAGTGTTTTCCCTGCATGTCTGTAAGTGCACCTGTGTCATGCAATGACCTAAGAGACTTTAGAAGAGGGCATCAGATGACTGGAACTGGAGTTCCAGATGGCTGTTAGCTACCATGTTGGTGCTGGGAACTGAAGCTAGGTCCTTTACAACAGCAGTGTTCCTAACTGCTGAGCCAATTCTCCAGCCCCAAATAAAATATTTCTGCAGAGCAAAATAATTTCCTACCAATAAGAAAACTGATTTCTACACTTACAAAGATATACCTACACGTGTTTAAAATGACAAAAAAGAAATGTCTCCCTTAAGAATAGTATTGTGAAATTGATTCATAGTTCTGCAGAGCTTGAACAGTAGGTACTCTACAAAACAGACACTGTGGGAAGCTCAGCTGAACAGACATTACACCGATGAAAGTACTAGTTACCTCCTGGCTCTTACTACTTGAGGCTGATCTCATCGACATGGTGGACTTATGTCTACACATTTGCTGTATCACTACTGTTATTTGGTGATCAAGTCTGCTTTTTCATGAGGCAAATAGAATTTAGAGATACATTAAATTTTTTGTTGATCCTTACTTTTCCCTTAGACTTCATCTGCCCTTTAATAAAGTTGGGACAGATGGTGCTCAGAGGGGTAACTTGCTCAAGGTTAAGTAGTAAGCTGGGCCTGGTGGCATATGCCTGTAAATCCAGATTAGGAGGCAAGCTGAGGCAGGAAGATCCTAAGTTCAAGGCTAGCTTGGGCTTTATAAGACCTTATTGGTAAACAAAGCAAAACAAAAAATAGTACACTGTAATGTGCTTTTTATTTAAGCTCAATGCCTTTGATCCAAAGCCTTTATTTCATTACACATATTTCTATTTTAAATGTTTCTGGTACAATTTTAATAAAACAATATATTAATAAAATGATTAAACTTGGGGTCACTTGATCTGTTACCTAACCTAACCCCAGAACTGCTGTGTTTTGCATAGAATAGTTACATGAAGGTTAAAATTCCAACAGCAAAGAACAAATTCATTTGTTACCATTTGTCTTTAAATATTACCATGGTTTATGTATTAAATTGTGATCATGATTATTTCTCCACAGGCTGGTACAGAGGATTTGCCTTAAAAAACCCAAATATCAAGGTAACAAACCATTATTTCTAACTGTAATTATAGAGTTTTTATTGAAGATGATTATTTAATTTATTTTACTATACAATTGCAATTACAGTTGGGCTCTTAATTAGGATGCAAAATGGCAATACATATTTTCATAATTTTGGGAATTTCTTTGAACTGGGATTATAGTTAAGATATGCTATTCAAATTGTAATCCTACATAACCCTTGAAAGTTATTCTGAGAAGCCATTAATAAGCTCATTACATATAAACAAAATCTTTTTGAAGTGTTAGTTTCCCAGAGAGGAAAATTCAAATTCAGTCAGGGAAAATATACATTACAAAAGAAATATTAAATAGTGGTATTTAATCTTTAACTTTTCTGTAATATTGTTTGTGAAATGCTGGTGTGGAGAAACAAGCTTATTCTAGTGTCATACATATGGGTGTGCGAAGCTAAAACTAGGAAAACTATCTGAGAATGCTCATTTTCCTTATTATTCCAGGGAGATGCTAAAAGTCACTATCTGTACCTACACAAATCCTTGGAAGTGGGTGGCTTTCATCTTTCACTTGGGCAGTTAGTGATTTTTTATAGTAATCCTTACTATCTGTCTTTATACCTTACTCTAATCTTCCCTGGTTTTCAAATTCATACTTCCCACAGTCTGTAATACTTTGTTATATGTCATTCTTTTTTGGGTTTAATGCTAGCTTTATTAAAATTGTCAATAAGGAATTGTGTCATTTCTCATTCTCAAAATACAATGTCAGGGATCTAAATCCTGTCTTTTTGCTTAAATATAGCTTGGGCTGAACAGCCAACTGTGCTTAATTACTTCATTTCATTATTTTAGATCAATCTAAAGAAAGCCTAAGGGATAAATGAGCACATACATTTAATTTTTTGATACTTTAGCCCTCATTTAAAGTTTTGATTTTTTTTGACGTCTCCAGGGCACAAGCAAATATAGCTTTCATGTTTAATTATTCATCTAGAGCATGTTTCTGAAAAATTTATTATGATTTCTCTATCACTTCAAACTCATCTCATACATTTTCAGTTCCAACTTTTCCTTATAGATTGCTCTATTTGTTAAGCCTATCATTTTGACATAAATATAAATCTCACAAATTAAAAAAAGTACTCTGCCTATTTGCTACTGTTGAATATATGGTATTTGCTTATTACATGTCATTTTATACTTAGATCCACAATGGTGATAACATAATCAGATGATATTTGCTTTTGTAAACATTTAATTGAGTTTTCACTTGATTGCACATTAGAAATTGTTCAGAGTACATTGTTATTTAATAGGCAATACAATGGATTTTTATTTTGACATATTTTTTCTGTGATTCTAAAGAACATAGGAACAGTTTTCTTGCCCTATTATTTCTTACAATAAAGAAGCCTATGTGGCTTCTTTTGTTTAGTTTTTTCCCATCAGCTTGGTGGTTAATTGCTAATGTGTTAGTATCAAAGCTCTTCCATAACATGTAATACACATTGTCTGCAAATTCACAGTGTTCTTTTGCTACTTTTTGCGGGGAATCTTTTTGAGAAAGGGTCCCCTTGTAGCTTCAGCTGGCCTGGAACCTGTTATGTAATCCAGGCTGACCCCAATCTCACAGAGATCTTGCTGCCCCTGCCTCCAGAATGCTGGGATTAAAGGGCATGTGCCATCATGCCTGACTCTTTTACTACATATTTTAAAATAGAGCCGTGAGTATTTGTGGGGGAAGAAAAAGGACAACTAATATAAACAACAAAAATAAATCCCATTGGCGAGGGGAAACTATTTCTTTTAACATTTTTTAAAAATTTATTGCATTTATTGGGTGGGGGGCACAAGTCTAGAGTATGTGCATGTGGAGGTCAGAGGACAAGTTACAGGAGTCTGTTCCCTCTTTCTGCCATGTAGAGTCCAGGAATCTGAGATCAGGTCATGGGGCTTTCCTGGCAAGTTCCTTTACCCCCTGAGCTATCTCACCAGCCCAAATTTTCTTTGCTTTTGTTGTTGCCATTTTGGAGGTACTAGGTATTGAACCCTTGGCCTTATGCATACCAGGAAAGTGCTCTACCACAGCGCTCTACCACCAGCTAAGGTTATCCATTGTAACATAATTTCAGCCTGGTGTGATGGTGTATGTCCATAATCCCAGTACTTGGGAAGTTGAGGTAGGAGGATTACCATGAGTTCAAGTCCAGCCTGGGCTGTGAGTGAGTTCCTTGCTACCTTGGGTTGTAGTATGAGGCCCTGTCTCAAAAACCAAGTAACAACAGAACCCATAGTTTGTTTTGTTGTTGTTTTTTAAGCCTTAGTTTTTATGTAGAAGTGTTGAATGTTTTTTATTTTCTGACTTACAGAAAACATATTTGTTGAGCTGGACAGTGTAGTGGCACACACCTGTAACCCAGACTTGAGGACACAGAAGCAGGAGATTTGCCATAAGTCTGAGGCCAACCTGGCCTACATAAGTAAGAATTCCAGCCCAGACAAGTTCCAGGCCTCACCAAGACCCTGTCTCAAAAGAGAAAGAAAGAGGGGCTGGAGAGATGGCTCAGCGGTTAGGAGCTCTGACTGCTCTTGCAGAGGACCCGAGTTCGATTCGACACAGGTGCACTCTCATACATGCAGGCAATACACTCATACACATAAATAAAAATAATTAAAAAAAAATATTTTTTAAAAAATCCCAAGTCTACAAAAAAGAGAGAGAGAGAGAAAGAAAGAAAAGAGAGTAAGGGACAGAAGGAGGGAGAAAGGGATATGTTTACTTCCCAGTAAACATATTTGATTTTTATTTCAATTATATGTTTATAGAGAATCTCTAAATTTATAAAGGAGTTGGTAGCTGGTATTAGAAAATAAAGATCTATGCCACATTACATTTGAACCTGTAGAATGTGTTGGTGATGTTTTTTGCTGTCCCTGATGACTTAGTTGTTCTAACTATGCTTTATACATACAGCTCATGAACCTCCTGGCCCTAAGAGACAGCTAGACCATAACTTCATGCTTTCTATTCCAGGGTATATTTCCTTCCAGCTATGTTCACTTGAAAAATGCCTGTGTAAAGAACAAGGGGTAAGAAGTAAATTTTAATAATACTTGAAGATTTTTCACAGAACTGTTGGGTATTTGGAATTTGAAAGACTAAGTAATTGTATTTCAAAATGAACTAGAAGAACAAACCATGGTCTGTGCTGTTTGATAAAGGCAGTTGGTGGGAAGAATTGAGGAACCAGTCCATGCCTGGTGTGGCGGTATATGCCTTTAATCCCAGCACTCTGGAGGCAGAGGCAGGCAGATCTCTATGAGATCCGAGTCAGCTTGAGATGATCTACATAGTGAACTCCTGATCAGTTGGGGCTACATACCCTGTCTGAAAAACAAACCAACCAAAAACCATCACTGTGTGCTGAACAACTGGAGGATCTAGAGTACTAAGATCTCTCACTGTCCACAAATGATGGAACTTGTTTAATATTAAGCTAAAAGTGTTGGTTCTTCTTTGTTTCCTGCTATTTAAGGAAAAGTTCCAAGCAGACTCCTAAATGCAAAGTCATGTTGTCTTAATGCCCGGGATTTTCCTTGATTCACCACTAATTATAAGAAAAGCAAAGCCTGTGGTCCATCATGATAGCTCAGTGGGGAGACAGCTTGCTGTGCAAGCCTGACAACCTGAGTTTAAGTCCCAGAACCCACATAAAGGTAGAACAGTGTAAGAACTGTCTCCACAGAGCTGTTCTCTGACCTCCATATGTGTTCTGTAAAACACATAGGACCCCACATATCATACATGAATACACACTAATAATAATTTAAAAAGAAAAGCCTATCTTTTCTCCTAAGTGATTATGCCATGTCCTTGTGTAACCTCTTGACACATTATTCTGCTTTCAACCTATTGGTTATCTAGTCAAAATAGCTATGAATGTGGCCCAATGTAAAACTGTAGACTGACAGCCCATGAGATTTTAAAATATTCTTTTTGCATGCTTGAGTGTGAACTTTGTAAATGAAAACTTGTGTCACAATGTCAAAAGACCAGATATGCCAAAATGATACCTTATTGGATTGATCTCTGAGGACTTCTTATATATTTAATTTTTTTTTCTAATTGGTTTCTACACTGATTGGAAACAGATGTCAGTATTATATCAATTAAAATACTATAAAATAAAACAGAACTTGCCTGGCATTGAGTACTTAACACAAGGAGATCATTTGTTGTAAGATGAATTTTGATACATGTATTTGATGCCAATGTCATGGGAAATCATCATTAAATTATTGTGTAATTTTTATTTTATGGCCAAAATATACAGACTCCATGATAGAAATTGCTTATTTCTGCAATAGCAATAAACAGAAACTTGTTATTTAAACTATGAAAGCATAGTAAGCAATATCTTTGAGTTTTAATTTCATCAAAAATGTTCCAGGAATGCTATTCAAATAGATGATTCTTATATCCATCCTCTGTAAAGGTTTGGTACTAGATTTTAGATCAGAGAATGAACTTCACACACCACTGAGTCTACAAATGCTTTGAATTTTCCCTACATGGATTAAAGAAAAGAATCTAGGAGACTATTATATTGTGTGTCTTACATATGTCAGCACTTTAAGCAATATTGGTGGTAGTAGTAATTTTTCAAGAGAGTAGATTCAAGGTATAGTTTTAATACCAATATTTACCACTGGTACTAATAATATTTTAATAAATGTTTAAGAAATGTCGTGAAGCTCTAAACCACCAGCAACATCAGAGTTGTTGGTCCATTCAGAGTTGTTTCAGACTAGGGTTGACATTGCCCAACCCCCCTCAAGTACATCAGAGTGTAATTCAAAAGATGTTTCTGCCACATACATCATACTGTCTTTTCTGATCTTCTGGTGACCTGGGCTTGGGAATGTGAAAACTCCAGAGTCCACCCCATCTTTTAAAGTGTCCACTTGAACAAGCCCCTACAGCCTCATCCTGTTTGCTGCCTTCGCCCTCAGCCAGCACAAGTTCCCTCACTGTGATCAAGGAAGAGAAAAGCACAGAGGCTATAGTCTCTTAGTTTTCTTTCCTGTTGCTGTGATAAAATACTCTGACAAAGCAAGTTAGGGGAGAAAGAGTTTACTTTTAGCTAAAAATTCCAGTTCTAGTCCATCATTGAGGGGCAGTCCAAGTGGCAAGAACACTTAAAGCAGCTAGCCATAGTATGTCTGCAGGCAAGAGCAAAGAGCAATATATTAATGCATGCATGTGTGTGCTGAGCTTTCTCCTTTTTCATAACAGCCTAGGACCCAAATCCAGGGAATCCTGCTACCTGCTTTTAAGTAAGCTGGCCCTTCCCAAATCAATTAACATATTCAAGACAGTCCTGTAGATATGCCTATGACTGACCTCATCCAGATAGTCCTTTCCAGGTGATTCTCGAGTGTGTCAAGTTGATAATTAAAACTAACCACAGCTAGCTAAGATAATGCCAGGTGGCATTCTACTTAGTCAAAGCACACCCCTCAAAGTGTATTCAAATGGGACAATAGTTTTAAAGTAAGTATAATTTTTTTTCTAGTTTTGTAACTGGTGCCTATACGTGCCAGTCCATGAACCCCAAGAAATTGTAAATGTGAATAAAGGTGTCCCAGAATTCGGCTTTGTGAGTTTAAGACTTAGCGTTTCCCTGCTTGTCACCATGCATGACTGGCATTGCACAGCAGAAGAACTATGGGGTGGACAGACTTTATTTTCTAAGAAGGAGTTACTGGAATTGGTTCAGATCCATGGTTCTGGGACTGCTAGAAGGAAAATTTGGCCTGAAAACATTCAAGGACACAGACTGCCAGTAGATTGTTTTCCCAGGAAGAAAACTCTTCAGGATTTTAATGTCACCTATCTTATTTTAAGCAAATTTGCAGCCTGATGGAATGGTAGGATGAAACTGATGTGAAGTCTATCCCAGAATGACTGAACAACTAGGGCAACTATCTAGGACAGATTATTTGAACATTGATTTAGAATTTTGTGTAATTAAATAAGAAATAGCAGCCTGTCTAAATTAATGATTTTGTGCTTAAATTTTTACATTTTGTTTGGACAACCCCAGATGAACTTTCTATATATTGAATAGTCTATGTGTTCTTTCCTGTGTCTCTAGAGCAAAGTAGGACTGATGGGGGTCTTTAAATTAAATGAGAGCATATGAATGGGGAAGTTACTTTCTATTGTTTGACTCTTGCTGAAGTCCTCATATTTTTTAAATGTTGAGTGCAATGGCAAGTGTTCCTGGAGATTCTTGTTCCCTCCTTGGTCTTGTATAAGATTCTTTTATAATCTCTGTATCCAAATCTTCATCATTTAAATTGCAATAGCTGGGGCTAGAGAATGACTCAGTGGTTAAGAGCACTGGCTGCTCTTGCAGAGGATCCGGGTTCTCTTCCCAGCACCCACATGCTGGCTAACAATGGCCCATAACTCCATTTCCAGGGGATCTGACACCCTCTTCTGAGCCCTGTGGGCATTACACAGCCCTGCAGGCATTACCTACATGCAGGCAATATACTCATACACATAAAATTTTAAAAATAAAATATTTGTAAAAATTGCAATAGCTTTTATCTTGGGGGTAATCAACAGCTACCTATTTGTATTTAAAGCCCACTGAGTGGGAAGAAACTCATGTGTAGCACTGTAAACCTAGCCAAATACACATAGCTGGAGAGGTCATAGATCTTAGAGAAAACCCAAGGCTCTCATATTCCTAGACAAATGTAATTTCTTACTATGTGCAGGATATGGATCCTTAAACTTGCAGACAAATATCCCAGTCACCACCCATCAAAGTAGCTTCTTTTTCAACAGAAATTATTACAGTTACACCACTGGTCACACACAGAGATTCTCTGAATTGCTCAAGCCTAAGTGGCACATTTAGGATGCAACCACTACATCTAAGATTCAGAGAATATATAACAAGGGATGAAGAGAACACTAATGCACCTTTCAGTTCATATCAATGAAGCTCCCTCATGCAACAGAGGGCCAGGAACACAAAAGTCCACAAATGACCAAAATGCAGAGAATAAGAGTAGATAGTGTGGGTCCTTGGACAGGACTCCTATATTGAGGTCCACCTACCCAGTGCTCAGGGACCACTGTGAAAGAGGGGACAGAAAGATTGTAAGAGCCAGGGAGGAGATGCATGACCATACAGAAATGTCCTACAGGCGCCTGGGACACTTCTCATACAAAAATGGTGTCAGCATGCACAAGACCCATGCAAAGTTAGGCAGACAAAAACCCAGCACCGAACTGTAGAAATGAACAGCAAGCCTCAATCTCAGTCGAATTTTTGGCAGCTGATTACTGCTGGGTGCAGAAGAGCTGATCTTAAAGGGAGAGACTCTAGATAGGCTGACTAAACCCAGGTGGATGAACTTGCACTGAGGGATACCTCGGAACACTAACTTTACATAATAGGCCTTAATACAAATGACAGAATGTATGAACTCCAGTCAGGGTGCTATGGGAGGGTGCCACAGGGGAAGGGGGAAGGGGTTATAAAGATGATTTTATGTATGAAATACACAAAAATTCAATAAAAACTTTTTTAAAACTCCCCAAAATTTTGCAATAGCTGCCTCAAAAGCAGAGTAAACACTCTACCATTGTAAAGTGTCATAGTAGGCTTAGTAAAAGATACTCTATGTCACCGTTCATATATTACTGTTTGCTTTTTTTCTAGTTTCAAATACCAGTTTTACATTTTCCAGCTGCACTGAAAATGTACATGGTGCGTTTTTCTTTTTTAGTAGCAGTGTGTAATGAAGAGGTGGAACTCCATTAGGGAAGGAATCAGGGCAAGATTTTAGTTTCTGTATTTCTGTTGAGAGGACTTTCCCAAAGACAATTATACAGACTTTGGACATAACCTCAAAAAGGAACTGCCAAACAATTATTAGCCTCATGCTAAGAAGCCATTTCCCTTGATCACTGAGACAACCTGGTTGAGGGTTTAATAGGCTGTTACCTTTTACATATTAGATGTTGTCCTTCAGAAAAATAAACTGAAATAAAAGAAATAGTCCCCATTAATATTGCTAATAACATTCTTCTGAGATGCAGTGCTGATAATGTTCATGTAGCCACTTGAGCCTGTTAAAAACCAGAAAGGATTTGACAAAAGAAATTAGGGATGAACAAAAGAGATCATTAAATACCAATGGCATGATGCAAAGAACAAACAAACTTCCTTAATCCCCCACCCCATGTCTCTCCTTATGTTTCTTCTCATTTTCAGGATAACCTTATGTATCTTACAACAAATTATTTTTCATTGCCCTGTTCCAGATAATATAAATGAATGGTTAAAGAGCTCAAACGAATACTTAGTCTGTATCTATCTAGTTAGACACATGCATTAGTTACAGGTTCACACTTCTTACATCCTAATGACTGAATAGTGTTTCTTTTACTTCTTTTGTGTGTTCTGGTCATAGCACTTGGATGGCACAAGTCATGTCATTTATGCAGCCTGGTGACCTTCTGTAACAGATGAAAGTTTTGAGCTTAGAGAAGTTGAAAGAGTTGTTGTCTAGTAGTCAAGTTGTCACTGAGTGGAACTCCTATGTTGTTCCTTCTCCCTGTACCATTCAGACTTGATCTAGATGAAGTGGCTGGTCTCTTGGGCATTGCACTGCCATTACCTATAACATTCCTGACACAAGCTTATAATCTGATAGTGGTTATGGTCTGACCAACCCCAAATGGCTTCCCTTCCTAGTTTATCTTCTAGAGTATTTAAAACAAAGTTGTCTCTGGTGTTTGTATATATGTTTTCTTCTTTTTAATTTCAAGACAATTTGAAATGGTTATTCCCACTGAAGACTCTGTTATCACAGAAATGACATCAACATTAAGAGACTGGGGAACCATGTGGAAACAACTTTATGTGGTAAGTAACTTTTTAGTGGTGTTATTTTTCAGTGAGATAATTGTCTTAAGAAATATGCAAACACGAGCAACCATCAACCAATATTCGAGTCCTTGCTGTAAGTCCCTGGGACTTCTTAGGAAATTAAGGATGTAGATCTTGCTAATGTATATTCATCTTATAATCTCTCTGTCCCCACTGAGCAAGGAGTTTATACACTGTATTTTTGTATTTCAGTACCACAGTCATATAAAAGATAGGTTTTCTGATATCTAACCCACTATGAATGTTTATGTGGGCTAATGTTGGATTTCTTGAATATTTTTAACTTTCAAAGATAAAGCTATTCTCAATATAATTTTAATAGTTGTGGTATTTTAGAATATCTTAATTCGATAAGTAATTCCCTTGAATATTGTAAATGAAAACAGCTAGATTCAGTGAAAATATTCAACGATACCAAGAAAAGGAAATTTTCATGAAAAAAGAATGATTTAGAGATATGTATGTGTATTAATTTACCTATAACTAATTACATTATTGAGCACTTATTATAAGATGCCCCACAGAAAGTGAAGTATCCTGTGTGAAATATCTCATTTAATTGAAAACACTCAAGGGAAAAATAACAGTGATCATCTCTAGCTCACAAATGAAAACAGAGAGTCACACAGCATGAAGCACTGCTCTGTACCAAGAACAGAGGTCTCCTCCTGTGGGTAACTCATACAATCCAAGATCCCCAAGAGCCTCAAACTGTTGATAGCACAGAACCCTCAATATACTAAACTTTTTTCCCTAAACATACATACCTATGATGGTTAATTTATGAAGTTAGACAGAAGAAGAGAATAACAATAACTACGAATAGAATAGAATTTTTATAAATGCTGTAGTGAGAGTTCTTTAAAACTTATAAATTGCTTATTTCTAGAATGTTCTACTTAATGCTTATGGGCTCTGGGTAACTGATGCCTTGGAAAGTGAAACTACAGAAAAGAGGAGACAACTGTAGTTAGGAAAAGTGGCTGAGTCGGGGTTCTTGTGAATCTGTAGCTTTCCCTCTGTGTAAGCAGAAGTCTGGGGGTGATGAAGTTTTAAGAAAGATAAATGTGATTTCTTCTTTTATTTTCAAAGAAAATTGCAGAACAGCTTAATCATTTAAAATGATGTGTTCAGAATGGAAAAGACATGAACACCCAAAGAGAAAATCGGGCCTAGTGATGCTCTTTCATAACCCCAGCTGAGGCTGGAGGCTCACAAGTCAGGGCCAGCCTGGCCACATACCTAGACCCTGTGTCAACTCCTGTCTCCCAGAAAAGTATGAAGGAGATGGAGACAGAGAAAATCCAAATTTTGAAGAGAAATGATGTAGAATAACAGTGTGTTTGTGTTATGTGTTACATCTAACATGCAATAAGATATTTCATTGAGACAAGAAAATCTTCACGCAACAAAAAACCCTTTAGTGTTGTAGCTGCCTATTCCTACCCTGTTGGAGTTGGTGGCTTTAGAATGCACTGGGAAAATACACAAGACAGTCTTAGATCTTAGACGAGTCACTGAGGTATGGTCTTGGTAAACAGTTTAGATTGTTGACCTCAAGAGCCCTGTGCTGAGACAGCACCAAGGAAATGCAATTTCCCTGTTTGATTTTTCTTTCATTGTCTTAGAAAGAACATAAAATCTAAGTATTACTGCATTTAAAGTAACATTGTGAGATACATAGTACATAGTACATCATAGTACATCATAAAAATTACTCAATGTGCTAGAATTACAATTCTCTCTGTCTCTCTGTCTTGTCTCTGTATCTCTGTGTGTCTGTCTATATGCCTCTGTCTCTCCTCTCTTTCTCTCCTCTCCTCTCTCTCTCTTTCTCTCCCTCTCTCTCTCTCCCCCGTGTGTATGTTTGTGTATGTATGTGTGTGTGTGTGTATGTATGTGTGTGTGTGTGTGTGTGTCCCCTCTTGTAATTGAGCTAAATTATCCAAAATTTTCCTTTTATACAGCTGCTGGTGGGGACCAAAGTTGATTTTTGTCTTGATTAGCTATTTTTAAGTGATTTTTGAGGTTGTGAGTATCCATTTTGGAGACTTGCCTAATTTGAAGATCTGTGTACAGTAAACTCTGCACGTAATATCTTTTGCTGAGTAATGGGAAAGAGAAAGAATTAGCCAACGTTTCCCCTGGGAACTGGAATAGTAGTTATATGGGTAGCAAATATACAGTTCATCCAGCAATGTAAGAGACATACTGAACTTTGGGATTGAGACTGACTTGACCCTCTTGAGTCTACCGGTCTCTTTTGTCCTGGTGTATATAAACTCTTTGGTTCATCATGCATCAGTATGTTTAGGGCACCATCTATAGTCTCTTCCAATAGTTTTAAAACATTTAAAAATTTCACTGAAAGATGTTTGATGAGGACAATAAGTTTTGCAGGTGTGAGTATATAAGATGATATATACAGACATTTAGAATAAAAAACATGGTAGCTTCTTGAGAAACATTAGTTGCTCTTTTAAACAATATTGTAAGGACCTAAATAATAACCTTTAAAATATCACTTACTAAAGTATCAGAAGCAACCCGAAAATGTTAAGGAGAAATACAGTAGGTTTTTTGTTTTTTTTTCAACCAAGCACTTTGGTGCAGGCCCCGAGCTATTTTACGTTCCTTTCTCTGGGGATCTGCCAGCTACTTTCTATTCTTGAATATTATCAAAGATGATTTATCTAGAGTCCCACACTAAGCAGTAAAGCCCTAGTCAAAATCTAGGTCTGCTGTCATTGAAATCTGTGTTGTTTTCATTTTAAAATGAATAAAACCTCATTCATTCTCTAAAATAAAGAGATACAATTAACTTTTGGCCACATTTCTGATGCATTGGACCAATTTTTAGATACTGTTTATTTTAATTGTTTAATATTGTCACATACTCTTCATTTAATATCAAATTTAAAGCATTTAAAAATGTTTCTGGAGCTGGGCATGGTGGCACACGCCTTTAGTCCCAGCACTCGGGAGGCAGAGGCAGGTGGATCTCTGTGAGTTCAAGGCCAGCCTGGCCTACATAGTGAGTTCCCAGACAGCTGGGGCTACAGGGAGACCCTGTCTTCAAAAAAAATATTTCTGACTGATCTTCAAAACTATCCATTTGTTCAAAATCAGTTTTTCACGCAGTGTAATTTTATGACCAGATCAGATGTCTAATCAGATATGAGTGCTTTTCTTTTTTTGCTTTTGTTTGTTTTTGTGTTTGCTTGAGATAGGGATTCACTCTGAAGCCCTGGCTGGCCTGGAATTCTGGCAGTTCTACTGCCTTAGCCTCCCAGGTGCTGGTTTTCTATGCATGGTAGCCCAGCTCTTTTTCTTAAAGTAGCAGGAAGCATTTGATGGCCAGGTCTGTAGTGTGGCAGCAATATTGCTTCCACTCATGGGTTTTCTTCCCTGAGGAGGAAGCTGACCAGCTAGTTTTCATTTTTAGGAAAGCTCTTGCCTCCCTCTCATCTTAACTGTCCCTTGTCAGTAGAGGTGATATATAAAACCAAGGGCCTCCTACCAAACAACTCCAGAATGTTTTCCCACAAGCAGACCTTGACCTCTCACTGTGGGGGTCAGGGTGCTATCTCTCTCCTTTGCTACATGATAGTTGACTTCCTTTTTATAACTTTATTATATAATCTTTTTCACTTAGTAGAGTTTTACTTCCTACCATTGATGTATTCATGTTTTCTCATCTTCTAGTTTATTCATTTGTATGATCTACACAGAACCTGCCTCTTGAGATCCACAATAAATAAGACCTATGTATCAATATATTCATTCATTCATTCTCCACCCATGAGAGGTACAAAGTCAGGCACAGCTGCTACAGATGGGAATAGACACTGAGCAGTCAATTATAAGAAGATTGTGTTACAGCACCTTGTAATGGCTTGTAAGGGAGTGTATAACATGAGAAAAGAGCAAGCAGTAATAGAAGATGGTAACAGAAAACAGGCTCAATAGAGTGTGTTAGGAATTGAGAGGAAAACAATATTATTTATGTCTTAGAGACCAGAATTGCCCTCCTGGAGAATGCCTCCTATTCCTTTGGCACATATGTCAGACCTGAACAGTGCATTAGAATTCCTCAAGATACAAGTACTGATGAGGCAGAAGACGTCACTATCCGTCACATAGAACTTGGTAGTTTCTGTAGCTTATAAATCTAGAGAACTTTAGATAGATATAACTTCTGCATTTTCCTATCATTCTTCATATAGTCTATTATTGATTTTTGTAGAAAGTAGAAGTATAGGTTGTGACTAAGAAAGATGTGAGATAGATGCTTACATAAGGTTTATTATCCTAACAGCTCTATGATAAGATATATATTTCTAGGTTTTGCTAAAGACACAGTATTGTAGAGGGATTACTGTGGACCAGGCTGAAACTGAATAAGTATTAGTAACATTATTCTGTACCAAATGTTTTTCTAAGAATTTTATATAATAACCCTTTTATCTTCAAAGTAACCCTCTGTGGTAGATACTGTGATATTCTTTTCGCAAATGAGAAAACACAAAAAGATTATTGTCAAAGTTTTAGAAATGATGATGTTGGAATTTAGGTCGTCATCTGACTCCTACGTTGGTGTTTTTTACCATTGTATATGATGCTGTCTTCACATGTGTTATCCCTAATCCAGACAATAGCCTTGCAGAAAGATAGTACTGCCCTTTTTCAAGGTGACAAAAGTTATACTAAAGGTTTATGGCACTAATAAATAGCAAAATCCAGATTCAAAACCAGGAGTTTAACCCATCTTCCTTCAGCCAAACCACAGAGCTTAATGACTTTCACAGGGATTATATCGAATCTATATTATTTTTAAAGGAACAAAAACACATTTTTGAAATATATTTTATATATTATTTTTCTTTTATGTGTATTAGTGTATTGCCTACGTGTATGTGAGTGCACCTATGTTGTGCAATGCTGCGGAGGCCAGAAGAGGGCTTCAGATTCCCCTGGAACTGGAGTTAAGAATGGTTCATAGCCATGTGGGTGCTGGGAATCAAACCTGGGTCCTCAGCAAGAGCAGTCAGTGTTCTTAACCACTGAGCCATCTCTCCAGCCCCTGAAAACACCATTTTTAAGAGCTTTGAAAACTAATTACATAATGGCAGTGAACACTGAGCGGTGTTTAGGTTTGAAAACTCCCTGTGTGTCCAACTTTGAGATCTGATGAAGAATTAGGATCAACATTTAAGAAATAGGGGAGCAGCAGTGTTTTCCATGTCACTGGCTTTAGTTGCATGCACCCATAGCTCAGAAAAAGATATGAGCAAGAGCTGTCAGGGAAGATTTCTTGAGGTGGAAGTCAGGCCAGGCCCTTAAGGACAGTAGAATTTGGATAGAGCTAAAGAAAGAAGCTCTGGACATGGAAATTCAGGCTCCATACTCAAGCAGAGACTGGACCAAGCTCAGGTATGGCACATTGAGAATCAAGAGCATCGTGTCTGTGCTGGGGAGCCTGAGAAGTAATGTATGGTTTGTGGACAGGAGGGTAGCACTGTGGAAATTGATTGAAAAATATATAGAGCTGCAAGTCACTTAGAAGATAAGGAAATGAGTTCATTTATTGGGGGAGAAACTGTCTGTCACACAGCAAGCACAAAAAGGGAAACCAGGACTTACCCTTTCCCTCTTCCCCCTCTTCTTTGGTTACCTTCCAACTCAAAAGAGGTCTGGCTACTAAACCTCTATGTTTACATATTTCTTAGAGAAATGAAGGTGATCTCTTCCACCGCCTGTGGCACATCATGAATGAAATACTGGATCTGAGGCGGCAGGTGCTGGTTGGCCATCTTACCCATGACCGGATGAAGGACGTGAAGCGCCACATTACTGCCCGACTTGACTGGGGCAACGAGTGAGTACTGACCATTATAGAGCACTGGAGGGAGCACAACAGAATGACACGGGTTAAGCCAGGATGTGGTGATACCACAGCAAGAAATCAGACACAGATCCCCCTGTTCTTCTCATTTCAGGCTTTGTGTGGACCATCAATGATGGAGTCAAAAGCCACATCCTCTAGGTCTGGTGTGGGTACTGAGATGTTGTTTGCTCTCTAGTCCCCTGTGGTGTGACAGTGTACATTTGATTACAGGAAATGAAATGTTCAGGGGGATTAATTAGATACGATTTCTGACTAAAATGTTTCTTCTTATCCAATAGTGTTTAGGTTTGGCATATATATATGCTTTTATTTTATGCCTCTTCCATATCATAGTGTAGATAGCCAGAGTAATCCAGAGGGAGACACTGATCTTCCCAGCTTCTGCTAAATGTCTTACAACAAGTACACAGTAGTGATTAGCACTGTGCCAACATATTAGCCACTTTGAAAAGCTGCTTAAGAAAATTGTTAAAGGCTTTCATTGACTGAGATTTACTTTTAAATAAATGTGGAGGAATTATTTAAAATAATAAATTACTTAAAATAATAAAATAATAACCTACTGGTATGTTTATTTAGTAGTAAATCTAATCATTGAAAACTCTGACCAAAGCTGATACTATAGTAAGTATGAATATTAATGTAGGAATGAGGTATTGGATCCTAGGTTGAATTAAGACTAAGGCAATATGGTTCCTTTATATCCTGTAAAGCCATATCATTCACCTCTTCCTTTTCTCTCACCAAGCCCCTATTTGCTATTTGAACTCCAGTGGAACTAGAGAGAGAGGTTGAGAGAGAGAGAGAGCGAGAGAGAGAGAGACAGACAGACAGACAGACAGACAGACAGACAGACCTTGAGTAAGTTTGCCTCATTCTGAATCTGGAAAAACATGTTTGAAAGTAGAATGTTGTTTCTCCTAAAGGGAGTCACTTTATCATATGCCATGGTTGATTTCTGATAAAATGTTAAAAGAATACACAGACCTATTACTAGATTTTAAAGTTCCATCTCACCCATAGTACTTGTGATATCTTGTTGAATATAATATGTCACTTACCTTTTTTATAGATAATAAAATGGCATAATTTATAGACCTCTAAAAGCTTTGTTCTTGTGGGAAATAAAGCAAGAAAGTGGACGTATTGGCAGGAAGAACATTAAACATCTACTTTTATTTTTTTTTCTTTCTTTTTTGGTCTTTTTGAGACAGGGTCTCCCTGTAGCCCCAGCTGTCCTGGAACTCACTATGTAGACCAGGCTGGCCTTGAACTCACAGAGATCCCCCTGCCTCTGCCTCCCAAGTGCTGGGATTAAAGGCATGCACCACCACACCTGGCTGAACATCTACTTTTTTAAAAAAAATTGTTTTCTCATAATATTTTATTTATTTGTGTGTGCTCTTGTGGTGGTGACAGGACAACTTGGAGGATCATTTTCTCCTTTTACCAGGTGGGTCCTGGGCATTGAACTCAGGTTGTCAGGCTTGGCGACAAGTGTCTTTACCCACTGAGCCATCTTGCCCACCCAGAACTCGACTTTTTTAGACTAGAAACAAATTCTTGAAACCTTCCTTGTCAAATGAGTGGACTGAAGTAGAAGTACAAGGGTTGTCTTGACCCAGGATGCTGTGATTGAAAGCACATCGTGTCTCCTGGCAGGCTGGATTCACCAGCAGTTGGTGCTGAGCTTCTTCTTTTGCTGTGTGCATGGAGTGGTCCTGTGAGGCACAGCTCTAAAGGCTGTGGACCCTGACCCCACTTTGACCTTATTCTTATTTTGAGAAAAACCACTGGGCTGAAGAGATGACTCAGTGGTTAAGAGCACTGGCTGCTTTTGCAGAGGACCCAGGTTCAATTCCCAGAACCCACGTGATGGCTGACAACCATCCTTAACTCCAGTTCTAGGGAATCCAATGCCCTCTTCTGACCTCCACCAGCATTGCCCAATGCAGGTGTATCTACCTACATGCAAGCAATACACTCATACACATAAAATAATAAATAAAATATTTTTTAAAAAAAACAAGAACCTTTGACTTTTCACCCAGTTGGTTCTTGATCACTATGCTGGTCCTCATTTAAATGAAGACTACTTTGTAAATAGAAAGGATGTTGGATCAAGTTAGATTATCCAGGATCACACAAAAATATCAAGAAAAAAAATCCTTTTTCAGTTTCTTACAGGGAGACAGAAGAGCAGTAGGGGTGGGGGATATGAAGTAGGACTGAATGGGAAGTTCTATGGCTAATTTGTGGTAAATTGGTAAAACATTGATGTGTGAAAATAAGCAGTATAATTTATTTAAATCATCCTTAAACCCATGATTTTTCTTTGAATGTTATTGATACTTATTTAAATATAACTTACAACATAGAGATTGCCCTTTTCCTTTAAATATAATTTCATTCCCTTACTAAAGAATGCTGAGTGGAAAGCAAATTATGATCATTTCTTTGCCTATTAAACTAGGTCAAATTATCCTGAAAAATGATCTGTCAGCACATAAATATCTGGCTGATCCTAAATTAAGAATGTATTCAGTCTTGAGTTGTATATCAGACTGTTGAAGAGCTGTGAGGAGAAGCCATTAGGATTTGGGAAGCTTGGATCCTGAGGCAGAGTTGAAGTAACAGTACAGGTTTCTGTTGCTCAGAGAGGCTTATGGTGTTTCTGAATTCCTGTTGATATTATTTGGGAGAGAAAAGAGCTTCATTTTTCTTCCTCTTGTCACAGAATTTAGAGTTGACATAAAATTTGACCCTTCCTGCCTGCCCAGATCCTGGCTTCCTATATCCTGTGTGGTCTTGCTCCACCTAGTTTCTCTAAGCCTCACTCACTCTTTCATATTCTTTGTAAAGGACCACCCTGATTCTTTTCCGTGAGGTAAGAAAGCTCAGTGACTAGTTCATCCTAATGAAATACCTATTAACTGGGAAGAAAAATGAATAGAAATAACTAAGATTCTTTGCACAATTAGGACTCCAGGAAGCTAGCAGAAATCAGAAAACCAAGCTTTTTGGAAAATGGGAATTTATAGAATAGCAGTTCTCTCACTTAGAAGTACAGGAAGGTTCTGGAGCTCACAGCTGGAGTTGATCCTGACTCATTTTGTAGTGATACAGATAAACTACCCTTCACAGATCTGTTCTTCCTCATGTTGCATGGATGTGATTGAATTCTCAAGTTCAGACTCACAAAGAAGGAATATTGTTGACAACAGTAGCTATACCAGCCTCTCTAGGTACTGGCCATTTGTGGATTGTTTCTTCTGAAGTCAGGAGCTCATGTGAGTGCCAGTGAAAATATGCTTTGTGAATGAAAGAATATCACATGAATGCCCTCTACCCCTGCCTCTCCCAAGAGAGAAACAGGGCCAGGCAGCTTCACATAGAAGAAACTTTAGCTAAGGCAGGTACACCTCAAAATTCCCACATGATCGTATGTTCTGTTTCCTTTACAAGATAATCATTCCTCAGCAAACTAGGCCTTGTGTCAAATAATATCTAACATTGTAGTTCAGTGACTCTCTTGGGAAGGGGCAAAAAATAGAAACAGACCCTCTCAGAGTCACTGGCGAGGTATAGCATAAGAAGACTTGGATATTTTGAGACTAAACAGCTTTGCTTAGTGTGTTGAAAGCTCAACTAAAAGAATAGGTAGATGTGTGGTTTCTTTGAGCATCTTAACAACTAACACTATTTAGGAAAATAAGGAAGGATTTTAGTATCTGAAAGACAATTCCTGCTCTCAAGTGACCATCCTCTAATTTTAAGAACCAGTATCTCTCCGGGTGACTGGGCAGTGCTTGGCTTGAAGTAGGTGCTGAATTAATAATTTTTAATGATGAAACTTTAATGAGATTTTGAGGCAGGCATAGAATAGCAGGATTCTTCATTATTTTTAATACAAAAGTAAGAAAGCTGAGTTTCTATAATTGGAAGTGCAGTGCCAGAAGCTTTCCACATTAGAGAGTGATGCCACAAAAGGGATACAGAGTAAATTATCTTCAGGGAACTAAACATGAGAACAAGACTGTGGTAATGCAAGAAGATGTTGTAGACAGACAGAATCTTCACCTTGATCTACAGGGCATTACCAAGGCAGTGGGGAGCCATGGTGATGATTATGGATACTTCAGGAGGTAAATAGCATTGGTATCAGTGTTACCCAGGGTGTGTCCTGGAGGAGTGCATTACCAACATCCCAGAAAGGAAACTGGACAGAACAGGGTCACACTTACCATGTCCATGGTTAGGCATCCCAAATCAAGTACCTCACTTTAGTGTGACGTTGCTAGAACCTCAGCCTCAACACAACAAGCCACATATCAACTACAGTGACACCTGAGAGAAGAGATTAAACCATTTACCACTACAAGCTTAAGCTATACTGTTCCAAATCTGTCCCCTACCTTTATAGTTCCCGTAATGTCAGACCCTGAACTTTCCATGAATGAGGATCATACACAAGCCCCCAGTACCTCACATTGGACACATTTTAACTGTGTGGCATGCCGGGTTGGTCTAGGTCAAATCCTAAAGACCAGATTTCCCTATCCTCACTTCCTTTTTTCTACAATTATTTCTAACTCTAGTTTCTAGTGTACTCCAGCTTAGAAGGGCTTCTCTGATGACAGTTTGTAGGTTGTTGAAGACTCTCCACTGTATAGTGTTGAGTGGCAGGAGCATTTCATTGAGAGCACCTACCCAGCCTCCCTTGATTTGCCTGTCATCTTCTGCTTCTCAGTCTTGCCCAGCTTTGTAATGTGTCCTCTCTGATTGCAGAAACAAGTCATGCTAGGTAAAAAAATGGAAGAAGTGTGGTGACTGGTGAAATTTGATCAAGTTTCAAGATAACATAGCAAAAAAATTATTCTTAGTATATTACATGGAGGTGACTTTTCTTCCAAATGTTTGCCATTTGTTTTCTAGACAACTGGGTCTGGACCTGGTGCCCAGAAAGGAGTATGCAATGGTGGACCCAGAGGACATCAGCATCACTGAGCTATACCGACTGGTATGTACATGGTTGTTGGCTCACAGCCTCATTGCTAATTTTGTGGTTTCCATGGTATTCTTCATACTCATTTGATGTTATAAGAACAGAATGTCCCAGGTTTAATTTGAGGAGAGTAAAGAGACTTGTGAGCTAAGGTGACCATGCCCCAACAAAAGTACCAAGGCTGTTTCCCTTCCACAGAACAATGTGAAGTTCTCCACTGAGCCAAGCCTTAATACCTTAGTTTTGTTGCTGTATCATTTTTTTTCCTTCCTACAATTCACTGCAAGCAAAACTAACCCAGGATCATTATTTATTAAATAAACTGTATTTAGAATATTTCAAGGTTCTTTTTTGATGGTATTTAGATGCCCCATTCCCACCTCCCCTTTTTGCCTCCTACTCAATTTAATGAGTCTATTTTATATATTTTAAGGCCTATAGAGTCTAACTTGTGTCCCCCAATGTCCTTAGTGTGGGTCCATCCCCTGGAGCTTGATTAACCTACCAAGAGTCCCATACTTGAAAGAGATTGTATCTACCCCTCCCAGCAGCCATTTGTTATTACAATTTCTTTAGGTTGGGTTGGAGTTTCTTACCCACTTCCTCATGTCCATGCTGAGATTATATTTTAAGGCCTATAGAGTCTAACTTGTGTCCCCCAATGTCCTTAGTGTGGGTCCATCCCCTGGAGCTTGATTAACCTACCAAGAGTCCCATACTTGAAAGAGATTGTATCTACCCCTCCCAGCAGCCATTTGTTATTACAATTTCTTTAGGTTGGGTTGGAGTTTCTTACCCACTTCCTCATGTCCATGCTGAGATTTTGTCTGTTTTGAGCTTGCATGGGGCTTGTACATGCTGTCACCGTTGCTGTGAGTTTATATGAGTTACTGACCAGCTGTCTGGAAGACTCTGTTTCTTTGTGGTCACCCACCACCTCTTGTTCTCTACACATTGGTTAGTTGTGGATTTCCATATTAATCACCATCTGCTGCATAAGGAAACTCTGACAGTTGAGAAGATGCATTAATCTATGGGTATAACAATAAGTCATTAGGAATTGGTTTAAAATGATAACTGTTTAGTAGAAAAGTAGTATTAGGTTCTTCCCTGTGTTCTGTGACTTGACCTAATTTCTTTTTTTTTTTTTCTTTTGGTCTTTTGGTCTTTTTGAGACAGGATCACCCTGTAGCCCTAGCTGGCCTGGAACTCACAGAGATCCAATCCACCTGCCTGTGCCTCCCAAGTGCTGGGATTAAAGGCATCTGTCACCATGCCCAGTGTGACCTAATTTCTTGATATTTCTCCAACCTCAAATTAGAGAAAATGGTTCATCAGGAAGGGCTTTCAAAGGTTATTCCCTTAAACCTAACTTTATTGTGATCTCATTATGCCTGCATCTGGTCATAGTGTTCCTAGAAGGAGGACTTGCTAGAAATAGTAGGCTAGATTTTGGAAGGTCTTGATGCTTTTGAAGTAGCTTTACATGCTTATATCACTTCACTGAGATTAGTGGGTTATTCTTAACTGAGTATTTATACATGCATATCTGAAAAATTGTGGTGAAAATCACCAGTTAAGTCCACTAGGGCGGGTGATTCATGAGAAGCTGGTCTTGGTCAATACTCCCATCATGTTCTTCCTTAATCACCCATCTATCAAGATGTCTGTGCTTTATGCTGGAGGTTGGAACACTTTCTGCTTCTGTAGAGGGTTCCTTTCCTGTGCACTGCACTTTTGGGGTAGAATATTGCATGTTGTCTATCTTTCTGACATCTGCACTTAAGCAGAGTATCTGACACCTCTTAAGAAGACAATTAAAGATGGTTGGAAAGGTGCTGGGGATATAGCTCAATTAGTAGAGTGCTTGCCTGGTATGCTCAAAGCCCAGAGTTCCATCCCGAGTGCTTCATAAACTGGGTGTGGTGGGATATACCTTGGTAATTCTAGCACTTGGGAGGTGGAGGCAGAGAGATCAGAAGGTCAAGATTATCCTTGGCCACACAGGGGCCAGCCTGGGTTAATACCCTATGTTTAAAAAAAAAAAAAAGTAGTTGGAGGGAGGCAGTTTTAAAAAAAATAACAAAATAAGACTGCCCCAGGGAAAACTCATTTGTTACTGCTTCTTAGCCCGTAAAACAAATATAATAGTTCTTCTTGCTCTTTTTTCTTTCTTTCTTTCTTTTTTTTTTTTTTTTTTTTTTTTTTTTTTTTTTTTGGTCAGTCAAATTTTCTAATGTCACATCTTTACTGTAAATTTTGCCTATTGAACATTGTATTTTCTTACTTCAAAAACCCCTCTCAGTGTTAATTTCCAGGTTGTACTGTCCTGTCTTCCCCCTGGTATGCTCACTGTAATCTTGTCCAGTGCTTTGCACTTAATAAGCACTGTCAGTGTTTTTGAGGTCATTTTGGTATTATGAATACACTATGAACTATGGCTCCAAACAACTGGATTTTCAGCCCCTACCAGCTCAGTACTCATGGATATAGTATTTAATCTCCATGAGACTCAGTTTCTTCATATATGGAGTGGGGGGAAAATTCTCTTCAAGCCTATTATGTCTTTCCTTGACAGATATTGGAAACACAAGTAAATATTCAGTCAATTTTCATTCCTTTCTTATCTTTTTTCATTCAAGAGTCAACATGGCAAGAATAATTGATACTACATATGCTAGATCTAGGATTAGATTTGGCTGTTTCTAATGAAATGAATAATAACAACCTAGACATGATAGAAATTTAATTCTCAAGTAATCTAGAAGTGGGAAGTTCTGAATTGGTTTATGGCTATTTTTGCTGGGTAGTACTTGACTTCAAACATCAAGCATACCTCAGAGTACAATATATCTGCAGAGGTTGCAGCCATTATGTCTGTACTCCAGGGAGCTGGAGAGACAAAGTCTTCTTGAGGCTGATTGAGCCGCTTGGGAAAGCTTCCCTGAAAGTTCCACATAACACTATATTTCTCAGTGCCAGAGCTTAGTTGCACCTGCAGATTTAGCCACAGATGTCAAATATTTGATAACCAATTAATAGTGCCTGATATATACAGTTTATTTTCTATATGAAGTTTTGCTTCCATGCTTATCCTTTAACATTGTAAAAGGGGTGGCAAGTTGATTTCACCTCCTTTAACATCACACTTTATTGGCAGTGGCTGCCTGAAGTGCAGTGGTATTCAAAGTCTGGGATCTCATGTAGGCTCTGGTGGGTTAGCAATGTCTGCCATAACTGGGAAAGAAAAGAGGAGGTACTATGGTATTTTATAGCTGAGTCTGGTCTAAAGTCTTCATTTTACAGATGAGAAAAATAAAACATCATGATTTTTTCATGAAAACTTACTTTGTCCTTAGTAGCAGTTGCATTTTACTGTTTCTAAACAAGGATAATAGCCCAAGAAAAAATAACTAGTGTTTATGAACTTCAGGAGGACATGTTCTCTTTACAAAGGCAGCTTTTTACCCCCTTAGGTTTCTTTTTGTGTCCTGTGTCCATCAGACATCCTATAGCTCTGTTCTTTTTCTTTGTGGAAGGTGTCAGTAAATGCCTACATTGATTTCACCAGGGAGAGTTGGGCAGCTTCATCACCAATCCCAAGTTATTGTTTGGCAGTTTATTATCACTTTGGATCAAGGGCTGTAGGGTGGAGGTAAAATACCACAGAAAAAGAATGGTTTATTTATTTTTTGTCAGGGTCTATTTGGAATACAGGTTCCAAATTGATAATACATTGTTTGGAAGAAAAAAAAAAAAAAAAAGGTTTTGCTTTCACTTTTCCCTAGCCCTGACTGTTAGCAGATATTTCTCACCTAATTATGCTCATCTAAGCAGGGAAAATGCTAAACCTCACCTTGCTAACATATGTCCACTTAGAAAGGTTGGTTTGCCAAAGGCCAGATCTCAGTTCTGCTGTAAAGAGAAGCTAATGAGCTGGATTCTCAGCTTATTTGCACCTGCAGAGCATCTTTTAGGAATGTTTTATGTTTGTAAGATCCTGTTGTCTTCTTGTTTGCAGTCTTTAGTGGGCTAGACCAGTGATTGTTAAGTAGAAAACAGTGGTTCTTAAAGGAAATTTTACTACCCCACTCCAAGGATACAGTTGACTTTGGTTGAAGACAGGTTTTGGCTGTCACAGCAAGGGGTGGCACTGTGGAGAGTTTGGAATAAACTGCAAAACATCTCACAAAGCTGAAGGCAGCCCCCTCAGTAAAGAATAACCAGCCCATATTCTTTGTAGCAGTGAGGTTGAGAAACCTGGGTGTAGCCTGTTCCTCTGGTAATTAATGCAACACATGAAGAATACCAGTTTGAGTCAGAGAAATCTTTGTGATGGATCTGTTTCTTTTCCTAATCAAAGGTGTAGTTAAACCACAAGCACATGTAGAGTAGCTATTAGGTACATTTGTAGCCATAAATTATGTCAAGATGGATTTCTGTCTCTGTGTTATAACTATCAAATTATAGCTCTTAAAGTGTGAACATGCCTTTTTAATTATGTTATTGCAATACTATTTTCACAGATATTTTTAGCAGTCTTCAAAAGTAGTGAACTACCAAGAAATAAGCAAATAATTATAACCTACTTAAGTCCAAATCCATCCCAGATCTGGAAGAATGGTGAGTGAGGGGTAGGCAAAGAGAGACTTCAGTGCTAAAAGTGTGCCAAATGGAAGGATCCCTGTTACAGGTACATAGTGTAGAATCAGGCAGACTTATTCCTAGCATACATGCCAAGACCAATGGTTCCAGGACAGTATTAATTGCTCATAAGATTTGGAAATATGTTTTTTAGCCTGCTGTGATTTGTATCTCTCTGCATCTGATCTCCATCAATGATTCTCAACCCTCATTGCCCATTAGAGCCACCTGGGGAACTTTTAAAACCACAGCTCTCTGCACCCCCTATTCCCTAGAAATTCCTATTTAATTGTTCTAGAATAGGACCTGGGCATAAGTATTTTTTAAAAGCTCTTTTGGTGACTCTAAAGTGCAGTCACGGTTGATAACCACTGATCTAGATATATTGAATTCTTTGCATGAGTCAGGAAACTAATTTTTTTTTCTACCTGTACTGAATGTCATGATAGATGCCAGTAACTTTACATTCTTTGAGGTCAAGAGCAGACACCTCCTTGAGGTCCATTCTTTACACTAGGCATTTAGTCTGTTTCTACAGCTTTAACCTTTGGTAGTCATTCATTTCTTCAGAGGAGCTTGTGCCTGTTTTAGGCGTTTGACTGTACATATATGAAGCTTTGTAAATAAGTTAGGAAGTAAGTTAGCAATTCTAGGGGAAATAAAGAATTACTTTTCAATTAGAGATTTAGCTTATGAACTTATGATGTGTCTTTTGCTATCATGAAAAGAATTGTAAAAACACAAAATAGAGCAAGCGTCATAGAAAACAAGAATTGTGCTCCCCCCCCACTATATTTAATTTTTCTTCAAGAACTTTTTCTAATAGTTACCACTAACATATACCATGATTCTGACTTCCCCTGAGCCTTTTAAAAAATGTATTTACTCTTTTACAGAGGGGTGTCCAGTGTGCCTGTTGAGTATAAATTGATTACAAGTTAATTTAATGAATTGCCTTTTTGATCTTTTCCTTTCAAGTAGTTGGAAATAAGTTAAAGACATAAAAGACATTCTGTTGCTGTTATTCTCTTACATTTACAACTGCGAATTGTAAAAAAATGGCATGTTGATCTGAAAAGTGGCCAGTCATTTGGTAACTAATGAACTCTACTTACAAGTTTTAAAAGGTGGCTGATGTAGAAATGGGGTTATGTGCTGTCACCCTCAACATAGTCTCTGGCTGTGGATTTCAGGTCCCCAAGTCAATATCCTGATGCTAACATGATCCTGATCCTTTTCTTAGTCAGGAGATTCAGATGAGGTGATGATGGGTAGTGTGTGATATGAAAGTGATGATCCTCTACTTCCTCACCTGCTGTTCTGTTAATGCCCAGGCTTTCCTCTTATCCTGCATCTTTGCTACTCAACATAGGGGTTCAAGAAGTCACTGGATTGGGCCAATATATGAGTGGCAAAGTAATGACTAGAAACCTGTGTAACATTTTCATATTCCATGGTATTTTTACTGTATTTTCTACAAGAATTTCCCTATTAGTCTCCAAAAAATTAGAGAAAGAAATAGCCTGGTCTCTCACTATTAGCTACTGGGGGAGTCCTGTCCAGAAGACAGGACTTTTTAGCTACAGGCACACTTTCCCAAGCTACAGGGACACTTTTCCACCTGCTCAGGCTAAAATCAAAACCTGTTTGGACTCTCTTGATAATACAGTTCTTCCTTATTCATCACCCTTGTAAGATTTGTGTAAGGCATGGTATGTTTCTGCATTCACTCACTGTTGTGTTCCCAGTGCTTGGCAGGTAGTAGACTCTAAGACTCATGGGTGATTTCTGTCCTCCCTTAACCTATGCGCATTTTCAGTTCCCTCCTCCCAGATCTAACATTAGCTGACCTCACCGAGAACAAGAGGTAAAGGGTGCACCTTGTCGCAATGTCCTACCTTTCGACACCTCACTGGCTTTCCTAGTCGGTGGCTCCATAGCTATTTAGAAACATTTTCTTATTTTAGTGGTAAAGTATAATTTGCCACAGCCCAATTCAGAAAACTACTACAGTTTTGCAACTTGGTATAATTTTTTAAAAGAATTTTAAAGTATGAGAACAGAGAAGTCATAGGAAAACTGTTCAGTTTTCATTAATGAAATGATCAGTAACTACCTGTTTGGGTTGGGTTTTTTGTTTGGTTTGGTTTTCTGTTTTTTGTGGGGTTTTTT